TCGCCTCTTACGACAAGCATAGTCGCATTTTACAGCAAGCATGGGTTGCTGATGACTTATTCTACCCGGATCTTCACGGGTATCTCTAGTAGTGATTTGTACGTACTCCACTGTGCTGGAGGAAAGCACACGTCATCACACCTCACACTTGGAATGTTAACATTGGGCCTAAACAACACCGGTAGACGGCGTTTTGAGATTAATAAGTGTGGGCGCTTATATAGCCTTGTCTCACACAACGTGTCGTCCGAGACGGCGGCCATTGGAGGAACTACGGTATCAAGGATAGGCGTTGGCGCGAATCTCAGATTCGATCCTGTATAATCCGGATCCTGGTACGACCGAGACCACTGCCCTATAGCTAAACAGTAAATTGAGAATTTGTGAAGATAAGGGTTAGAAATTGGTCTTCAGCAACTCATACTTGTCGTGAGAAGCGAATAATGGGTCGCCAGACTCACTGACTTAGTCAATGCATGTCAGCGTATCCTAATTACCTAATCGACTCTCATGATATCAGTCAATCAATTATTTACAGGCCACCGTCATATAGCTGGAATATTGCTGAGTACAGGGTTAAACAACAAATAATCTGCACCACCTGGGGGTAAAATAACAGACCCCACAAACCACCAACAAGTAGACTAATTAACAATCACACTTGCTTCTTAATACAGTAAACTACGGTTATAACGAACTCAAAGGGACTAGTAATTTTAGTTCGTTATAACCGTAGTTCGTTATAAGTACATATACAGCATGACTACTGCAAGTAGTCGGGACCAAAAAGTAAGTTCGTTATATCCGTCAGTTCGTTATAAGCGTGTTCGTTATAACCGTAGTTTACTGTATATATTTCCTAGTTTTTTATTACTTTAGAGTCAGAAAACAGCTCACATTCACATTATTAGCTTTAAAATGTGATACTCCTAAAACCGGAGACAACCTAAATTAATCTCGCTCACTGATATACTTTGAGTTAGGTTTCACCACACCGACCTCGGGTTAAAACTACTCGAGGCAGTGCTTCTTAATGTCAGTCATAAATCCCAACTCACGGGCCTCAGTGTAATGAATGCAACATAATTAGAATTATTGACTAATTAAATTATAAAAACCCCGAATCTAAAAAAATAGCAAATGGGGACTCGTTTCAGTCTGTGTTACGTACGAATCCTTTATCTTTACAAGATACCCTCCACGTGACAACATGTTTTAATAAGCAGCAAAAAAACCCAATTTGTTTACTCCATGTGTACGTCTGAATGCTCCCCTCCCCCCCATACATACATATACCCCCCCCCCCCCCCGTAGAAAGTTGCTGGTACAGCCGACTGGGAAACTCCTAGCCTTGCTCCAAGGCTGTACTGAAAGGTAAGTCCATGGATGGGTAGTAATTCTATCCTCCTAATAGGCAAGTCTAGATATGTGGAGTGCCTAAGGACTCCAGTCTGTTATAGGGAAACTTGTTCTTATTATTTACACAATCTAGAAATTATGATTTAAACTAATAACTATTGCCTTAGAGACTTGTTCAAGTCTAGGAAGCACCACACGAGTACACTCGGGTTGATAAAACATTGCTTCAAAAGATTTACCGATAAAACTGTCTTTCAGGATGATAACGAATATGATTCTACCAAGATGCTGATGATGATACTGATGTCTTTAATGCAGGTTCCGACGCGATGTCACAGTGTGCGTTTCATGTACACAGACGGTCGTCGAATTATAAATATATAAGATACTTCAGGAACACCAAGTACATAAAAATACCATACAAGACACGTGTCAAAACTGTTTCAATGCTGTCGTGATTTGATGATATACGAGGCTAAATCGTCTTGCACGCATCTGCTACTAATGTTCATAACGCTTTGCAGCTCAGTATTCAAAGAAATATTTTGCAGAATCACCAAATATCGCAATAATATATCGCCGTTGGTTTGGGGAATGGGTGTGGTCCATTTTTGGTATCGAACCCGGGTCATATACGACACAAGCGAACACAAATAAGACAATGTTAATTTAAGGTCCCGGTAGAACAGGCGTGTTGGTCGAAGGTCGCCACTCCGCTTGTGACGAACTATGGATAACTGACCCAAGGGATTTGCCAACCAGGTATTAACTTTCGACTTGTGATTTTTCTTCTCCGCATCTTTCAATCTCATTAAAATCAGATCTATGTTAGCGAGAACTAACATCTGATTTGAATGATATCGCGCATCTTTTTATAAACGTCGAGTACGCACACACACACACACACACACACACACACACACACACACACACACACACACACGCACGCACGCACGCACGCACGCACACACACACATACACGCACACACACACGCACGCACACACACACACACACACACACGCACTCACGCACGCACACACACGCACGCACGCACACACACACACACACACACACACGCACGCACTCACGCACACACATACGCACTCACGCACACACGCATGCACACACTCAGAATGTATTCCCAACCTTCCACGGTATAACTGTCTATCTGTAGTATCTGTTCCCAGATACCCTACGCACACAGAGACGTGCTTACCACCTGTTTTGCCGTCGTAGACGCTGAGCATTAATACATACAATCTTATCTATTACCCCTAAACCAGCAGATGTCTGTGGAGGATATAGTAGTTAACATAGACCCCAATCAGATAAAACTGTCTTTATGACGAGAAAATCTACTTTATTTCTACATAAAATTGGCCACAGATCCAGATAAACCGTTGATGTAGCCATATCAATTTATTCTCCTAAACTTGGAATTATGTTTTCGTGACCGTTTGAATAAAAATTTAGTTGCGCTTATAAAGTGGCCCCCATATGTCTATAACATGTTTAAGGTTGAAAACACGTAAACGATTTTTGAAAACATGAAGAACATACCCATGCTTCCGGTGAACCATACATAACAGTGAGTGAGTGAGTGTGGTTTTACGCCGCTTTTTACAAAAATCCAGCAATATCACGGCGGGGGACTCCAGAAATGGGCTTCACGCATTGTACCCATATGGGAAATCGAACCCGGGCCTTCGGCGTGACGAGCGAACGCTTTATCCACCCCACCGCTCCTCATGCACAATAGTGTACGTGCGGTCAGGTAGCCTTGTGGTTAAAGCGTTCGCTCGTCACCCCGATAGCCCTGCTTCAGTTCCCGACATGGGTACATCGCGTGAAGCCCATTTCTGTTGTCTTCCATCCTGATCATTGTGATATTGCAAAAAGCAGCGCAAAACCATACTCACTCACCTCATTGGGATTCCAGGGTAGAAGAGGTCCGCATGTTTAACCGTCAACACCAAACTTATCACAATGTCTACGACCTGCGCCACTTTGGGCTTTCCTCCCACGACCAGCACTGCGTTATCACGCTGAATGAATGTTCAAAGTGGCGTACGTTGAGCTTGTGAAGATCCGGGTTAGGATTGGTCTTTAGCAACCCATGCTTGTCGTAAGATGCGACTAACGGGGTAGAGTGGTCAGGCTCTTTGTGAGTGGTCAGGTTGATGCATGCCATCGTATCCCAAGTGTGTAGATTGATGCTCATGATATCGATCACTTGCTTGCCTGGTCCAGACTCGATTATTTACAGGCCGTTGTCAAATATCTGGACTATTGCTGAGGGCTGCGTTAAGCAGCAAACACAATCTTGAGCTTATCTCACTAAGAGCTACTATTCAACATAGGGCGATGTCAGTGATGTAATGGGTGATTGTGTTTATTGGACTCCGATGTTGTCAATCGTTGCTCGTTATATCAACCACTGCTTTACCGGATCAAGATTCGATTATTTTCAGGCAGTTTAAGACAACACACTCAATCACTGCAGGTACTACTGTTATTTATACAGTTGGAAATAAATGTTTGATTTTGGTTTTGTGCACCCAGAATAAATCAATATCTTGATGTTAATTCGTCTTCATGCTTTGAGGGTTGTTGACATAACCTCTTATCGAGATGAAACCAGGCGATGTATTACAAGTCAAGCTGGTAATTAACCGCGGGGCTGCAACATGGCTGACATGTGTTTCTGCGGGACTGCACAAGGCGCGCGCACACTCGGAAGGCACTTCATTCAAGTATACGGTATTCAGAAACAGGTGTGTAAGAAGCAGTAATGGATGCTGAGATGATATGTTTATGAAGTTGTAACCTGCCTTACCAACTGAAATAATACTTCAAAGAAATTGCTGGTTGAAGTGTCTCGAGTGTATTTCGCATCTATGTTTTATGAATGATAAATTAATACTTTTTGCAAAATGGATTTAGTTTCAAAGGATATTTTTTTTTTTATGGGAACTATATTCTGATGAGACCACATAGAGAGACGATTATCTAGAATTGGTGTATTCGTCAGTATGCAGCGGCACATCAGGTAGTAAGGGAGGCGGGTACATCAATCAGAAATATCCTTTCATATAAAGACTTGATAGATCAGGATCAGGATGCATGGCAATCTGATACACATGGTGATAATCTTGTCATAATAATGATAGTGATAATGTTTAAATATTAAAACTGTATCAATATGAAGGAAGAGAATTTATGGATGTCAAATCTTTATTATGAATAACACAACGTTTCGGAGTATATGCTTACTCCTCCATCAGGAGTAATTATGAAGGAGTAATTTTATACTCCGAAATGTTGTGTTCCTCATTATAAAGAAGTTGACATCCATAAATTCTCTTCCTTATGTGTGTCACTTCTAAATGCCTTTCAAAGGCTTGTATCAACATTAAACTTATTATTGTAATATTATTGTCAATAGGCAATGTATACATAGCGCAAGATTCCACGCCTTGTAGGAGCACGCTCAAAGGACTTGACATTATTACTCCGGTCAACGGATCACCGTTCATTTCAAATTGCATTCTAGGCTTCCTGGGGAATATTCGACCCGAACTGCATGTTTTGGCGCTATGTGGTGTATCCCTAGTCAAGTGACTTAAGTCAAAATAAGGCCATGTCTTCCCAGCAGCGAATGGGTAACCGGTAGGATGAGATGGTAATGTGACTGTTTACCTTCTAGCACTTTACAGGCAGTTTGGGTTGTATACTCCCCAGGAAGATGAGAAGGGAAATCGGGTGCACATCGATCCATTTGACATGGTTTAGCTCAATGAGCATTCACTAACTGAATAGAATCTGGCAAATTATAAATGGACTTCTTCTTCTTCTTCTGGGGCGGTGGGGTAGCCTCGTGGTAAAGCGTTCGCTCGTCACGCCGAAGACCCGGGTTCTATTCCCGACATGGATACAGTGTGTGAAGCTCATTTCTGGTGTCCCCCGCTGTGATATTGCTGAAATATTGCTAAAACCATACTCACTCACTCTTCTTCTTCTTCTCCTTCTTCTTCTTATTGCTATTATCATTATACACAAACGGTTCCAAAGACACCAATATACACACATATTTAATTTGAAGACCAAAAACGTAATCCCTATTTATTATTTATGCATTTTTCCATCAGTGTTTCATCTTGTCTGACCACAGCTGTACAAATGGGTACAGCCTCACATGATACATTGATGAGTACTGCTAATCAGCTCTGTTTCATGTCCACTGTGATGTCGTACATATCGGCTTGTTTATTTATTAAAGAAACTCGCAGAAGGTTGTTCCTAGCTATCCTGTAATCTATCACACGGTGTACTGCGTGTGATGTACCAGTTCTGATGTATCACTATGGTCAAAACACCAAACAAGGCGTGACATATGCTGTCTGCGTCCCACGTGCATGTTGATGTCAGATTACACACTGAGTCACGTGGGAGAAATGAGTCTATCACATTTTCAATATGTCTTCCTTAGTAGCCATATGTTAACTCCAGTCAGAATTTTATAACATGATTGAAAAAGTGAAAATAGCATGTGACGTACGAGAGCATGCGACTTTGAAGACGGTTCTGCTATTTCTGAATCTCATACTCGACCGGCTCCTCCTTTCAGAGAAAGAGGTTTGTCGTGAACCAGTGACCGAAAACATCCTGACACATTCCAGCCCCCAGTCCCGTGTCCCCAGTTCGAGCCCCTAGCCCCAAGCCCCTAGCCCCAGCCACCAGATACCATTCCTCAGTCCCGTGTCCCCAGTTCGAGCCCCTAGCCCCAAGCCCCTAGCCCCAGCCACCAGATATCAGCCTTCAGTCCCGTGTCCCCAGTTCCAGCCCCTAGCCCCAGCCCCCAGATACCATCCATCAGTCCCGTGTCCTCAGTTCCAGCCCCTAGCCCCAGCCCCCAGATACCATCCATCAGTCCCGTGTCCTCAGTTCCAACCCCTAGCCCCTAGCCCATAGCCTCTAGCCCCAGCCCCAAGATACCATCCCTCAGTCCCGTGTCCCCAGTTCCAGCACCTAGCCCCAAGCCCCCAGCCCCTAGCCCCAGCCCCCAGATACCATCCCTCAGTCCCGTGTCCCCAGTTCCAGCACCTAGCCCCAAGCCCCCAGCCCCTAGCCCCAGCCCCCAGATACCAGCCCTCAGTCCCGTGTCCTCAGTTCCAACCCCTAGCCCCTAGCCCCAAGCCCCTAGCCCCAGCCCCAAGATACCATCCCTCAGTCCCGTGTCCCCAGTTCCAGCCCCAGCCCCCAGATACCAGCCCTCAGTCCCGTGTCCCCAGTTCCAGCCCCTAGCCCCCAGCCCCTAGCCCCAGCCCCCAGATACCATCCCTCAGTCCCGTGTCCCTAGTTCCAGCACCTAGCCTCAAGCCCCTAGCCCCAGCCCCCACATACCATCCCTCAGTCCCGTGTCCCCAGTTCCAACCCCTAGCCCCTAGCCCCAAGCCCCTAGCCCCAGCCCCAAGATACCATCCCTCAGTCCCGTGTCCCTAGTTCCAGCACCTAGCCTCAAGCCCCTAGCCCCAGCCCCCACATACCATCCCTCAGTCCCGTGTCCCCAGTTCCAGCCCTTAGCCCCAAGCCCCCGCCCCCAGATACCATCCCTCAGTTCCATGTGCCCAGTTCCAGCCCCAGCCCCCAGATACCAGCCCTCAGTCCCGTGTCCCCAGTTCCAGCCCCTAGCCCCAAGCCCCCAGATACCAGCCCTCAGTCCCGTGTCCCCAGTTCCAGCCCTTAGGCCCAAGCCCCAGCCCCCAGATACCATCCCTCAGTCCCGTGTCCCCAGTTCCAGCCCTTAGGCCCAAGCCCCAGCCCCCAGATACCATCCCTCAGTCCCGTGTCCCCAGTTCCAGCCCCAGCCCCCAGATACCAGCCCTCAGTCCCGTGTCCCCAGTTCCAGCCCCTAGCCCCAAGCCCCTAGCCCCAGCCCCCAGATACCATCCCTCAGTCCCGTGTCCCCAGTTCCAGCCCTTAAGCCCAAGCCCCAGCCCCCAGATACCATCCCTCAGTCCCGTGTCCCCAGTTCCAGCCCTTAGGCCCAAGCCCCAGCCCCCAGATACCATCCCTCAGTCCCGTGTCCCCAGTTCCAGCCCCAGCCCCCAGATTTCCAGCCCCAGCCCCCAGATACCATCCCTCAGTCCCGTGTCCCCAGTTCCAGCCCTTAGGCCCAAGCCCCAGCCCCCAGATACCATCCCTCAGTCCCGTGTCCCCAGTTCCAGCCCCAGCCCCCAGATACCAGCCCTCAGTCCCGTGTCCCCAGTTCCAGCCCTTAGGCCCAAGCCCCAGCCCCCAGATACCATCCCTCAGTCCCGTGTCCCCAGTTCCAGCCCCAGCCCCCAGATACCAGCCCTCAGTCCCGTGTCCCCAGTTCCAGCCCCAGCCCCCAGATACCAGCCCTCAGTCCCGTGTCCCCAGTTCCAGCCCTTAGCCCCAAGCCCCAGCCCCCAGATACCATCCCTCAGTCCCGTGTCCCCAGTTCCAGCCCCAGCCCCCAGATACCAGCCCTCAGTCCCGTGTCCTCAGTTCCAACCCCTAGCCCCTAGCCCCAAGCCCCTAGCCCCAGCCCCAAGATACGATCTCTCAGTCCCGTGTCCCCAGTTCCAGCCCCAGCCCCCAGATACCAGCCCTCAGTCCCGTGTCCCCAGTTCCAGCCCCTAGCCCCAAGCCCCTAGCCCCAGCCCCCAGATACCATCCCTGAGTCCCGTGTCCCCAGTTCCAACCCCTAGCCCCTAGCCCCAAGCCCCTAGCCCCAGCCCCAAGATACCATCCCTCAGTCCCGTATCCCTAGTTCCAGCCCCAGCCCCCAGATACCAGCCCTCAGTCCCGTGTCCCCAGTTCCAGCCCCTAGCCCCAAGCCCCTAGCCCCAGCCCCCAGATACCATCCCTGAGTCCCGTGTCCCCAGTTCCAACCCCTAGCCCCTAGCCCCAAGCCCCTAGCCCCAGCCCCAAGATACCAGCCCTCAGTCCCGTGTCCCCAGTTCCAGCCCTTAGGCCCAAGCCCCAGCCCCCAGATACCATCCCTCAGTCCCGTGTCCCCAGTTCCAGCCCTTAGGCCCAAGCCCCAGCCCCCAGATACCATCCCTCAGTCCCGTGTCCCCAGTTCCAGCCCCAGCCCCCAGATTTCCAGCCCCAGCCCCCAGATACCATCCCTCAGTTCCGTGTCCCCAGTTCCAGCCCTTAGGCCCAAGCCCCAGCCCCCAGATACCATCCCTCAGTCCCGTGTCCCCAGTTCCAGCCCCAGCCCCCAGATACCAGCCCTCAGTCCCGTGTCCCCAGTTCCAGCCCTTAGGCCCAAGCCCCAGCCCCCAGATACCATCCCTCAGTCCCGTGTCCCCAGTTCCAGCCCCAGCCCCCAGATACCAGCCCTCAGTCCCGTGTCCCCAGTTCCAGCCCTTAGCCCCAAGCCCCAGCCCCCAGATACCATCCCTCAGTCCCGTGTCCCCAGTTCCAGCCCCAGCCCCCAGATACCAGCCCTCAGTCCCGTGTCCCCAGTTCCAGCCCCTAGCGCCAAGCCCCAGCCCCAGCCCCCAGATACCAGCCCTCAGTCCCGTGTCCTCAGTTCCAACCCCTAGCCCCTAGCCCCAAGCCCCTAGCCCCAGCCCCAAGATACGATCTCTCAGTCCCGTGTCCCCAGTTCCAGCCCCAGCCCCCAGATACCAGCCCTCAGTCCCGTGTCCCCAGTTCCAGCCCCTAGCCCCAAGCCCCTAGCCCCAGCCCCCAGATACCATCCCTGAGTCCCGTGTCCCCAGTTCCAACCCCTAGCCCCTAGCCCCAAGCCCCTAGCCCCAGCCCCAAGATACCATCCCTCAGTCCCGTATCCCTAGTTCCAGCCCCAGCCCCCAGATACCATCCCTCAGTCCCGTGTCCCCAGTTCCAGCCCCTAGCCCCAAGCCCCTAGCCCCAGCCCCCAGATACCATCCCTGAGTCCCGTGTCCCCAGTTCCAACCCCTAGCCCCTAGCCCCAAGCCCCTAGCCCCAGCCCCAAGATACCAGCCCTCAGTCCCGTGTCCCCAGTTCCACCCCTTAGGCCCAAGCCCCAGCCCCCAGATACCATCCCTCAGTCCCGTGTCCCCAGTTCCAGCCCTTAGGCCCAAGCCCCAGCCCCCAGATACCATCCCTCAGTCCCGTGTCCCCAGTTCCAGCCCCAGCCCCCAGATTTCCAGCCCCAGCCCCCAGATACCATCCCTCAGTTCCGTGTCCCCAGTTCCAGCCCTTAGGCCCAAGCCCCAGCCCCCAGATACCATCCCTCAGTCCCGTGTCCCCAGTTCCAGCCCCAGCCCCCAGATACCAGCCCTCAGTCCCGTGTCCCCAGTTCCAGCCCTTAGGCCCAAGCCCCAGCCCCCAGATACCATCCCTCAGTCCCGTGTCCCCAGTTCCAGCCCCAAGCCCCCCAGATACCAGCCCTCAGTCCCGTGTCCCCAGTTCCAGCCCCAGCCCCCAGATACCAGCCCTCAGTCCCGTGTCCCCAGTTCCAGCCCTTAGCCCCAAGCCCCAGCCCCCAGATACCATCCCTCAGTCCCGTGTCCCCAGTTCCAGCCCCAGCCCCCAGATACCAGCCCTCAGTCCCGTGTCCCCAGTTCCAGCCCCTAGCCCCAAGCCCCAGCCCCAGCCCCAGCCCCCAGATACCAGCCCTCAGTCCCGTGTCCCCAGTTCCAGCCCCAGCCCCCAGATACCATCCCTCAGTCCCGTGTCCCCAGTTCAAGCCCCTAGCTCCTAGCCCCAAGCCCCCTAGATACCAGCCCTCAGTCCCGTGTCCCCAGTTCCAGTTCCAACCCCTAGCCCCAAGCCCCAGCCCCCAGATACCATCCCTCAGTCCCGTGTCCCTAGTTCCAGCCCCTAGCCCCTAGCCCCAGCCCCCAGATACCAGCACTCAGTCCCGTGTCCCCAGTTCCAGCCCCCAGATACCAGCCCTCAGTCCCGTGTCCCCAGTTCCAGCCCCTAGCCCCAAGCCCCCAGATACCATCCCTCAGTCCCGTGTCCCCAGTTCCAGCACCTAGCCCCAAGCCCCAAGCCCAATACTGTTGAAAGCAGCGATAAACCCAACTCTCACTCACACTTCCGGGTTGTTATTACGTCTGATTAACAGGGCATGAGAGGTGGTGACCTGCCCAGCCTTCTTGTCATCCGTCTGCATTCCGGGAACCCATCGGACATTGACCTTTGACAGACGAAGATGTCACGAAGGGTTGTTTCTATGGATCAATACGAAGCCTGTGGTCTCCTCATGGAGCGAGCTGCGTCTTTAGGTCAGTATCAGGTTGTGGATGACATCAATGTTTTCTGGTGGTGGTTGACCAGAGCGGGGAACATCTTCCAAACGCTCCCTCGCTTATATTCCTTAACCCAACGTTTAATAGTAGCACAGCGGCACCTTAGGTTCAATGGTACCATAGCGGCACCCAACTTTTAATAGTGGCACCAACGTTCAATAGTAACATAGCGGCAACCAACTCATCTGTGGCATAGCGGCACCCAACGTTCAATGGTGGCATAGCGGCAACCAACGTTCAACAGTGACATGGCGGCACCCAACGTTCAATAGTGGCATGGCGGCACCCAACGTTCAATAGTGGCATGGCGGCACCCAGCGTTCAATAGTGGCATGGCGGCACCCAGCGTTCAATGATGGGGCAGCCTCCACACAAAACGCAACCGTTCATCAATGATGATTGACATTCTAGGATAAACCAAACTGTGACTGCTCCCTACTTAGACTGGGCCATTCCACTGCCATGGAGTTGGGGGCCTCAGAGTCGAAAACAATTTTCAGTAAGTCACTGGGCAGATGATCGCCAAACTGTAAAATAAGACTAAAACACACAGGCCGATACTAATATATGTCACACATAAGCTTATACTAACTGACACTTCACCGACTATGGGCCAACGCTCGCTACGCCCGAGGTCTACGTGACGTGGGATAACTTTGTCATAAAAAAAAGACAAAAAAATATATTAAGTAAAAACTAAAACTAAAACAAAAAAAACAAACTTTGACATAACAATAAACTAGTTTTGCCAGGCTTAAAACATTCTGATATCCCCTCGTTGACTGGCTAAAGTTCACCAGGGTTATGTCATTTGAACAATGGTGAAGATTACCAGTAGACATTGGAGATGTGTGAACCTAGTTTGCCTTCGTCATTCAGCAGCGAGAGAGTAATTTGGACGTTGTAAGGAGAACTGGATAGTGCTATTGTACACGCAAACGACAGGGGTTCAGTACATACATACGCGTTATCACCCGCCGTGATCTGGCTAAAATAATGCTAAAAGAGCAGTAAAACACTCCGCAATCCCCTGTGTCCATTCCAGTCTCTGGTAATGAGAGTCGCCTGCACCTACTAGTTGTTCGTGAGAGCAATTATCGTGTCCGACTCATCAGGAGAGTAGGTTGTATTTTAACTCTGAATAACTCAACTGTAAGTACGAGTGTACCAATGGTAAAGATAGGGCTGAGAGTTGTAGGAGTTATGCGTAGGTTACAAGCTAGCCATTTGAGACAGGCGAAACAAGAGACACGGGTGAGACAGGGACATGTGTGTGACAGGGGGCGGGGGGTGGGGGGGGGTGGGGGGGGGGGGGGGGGGGGTGGGGGGGGGGGGGCAGTGGTATGAGACAGGCAGCCCGGATGAGACGGGGGATGGTGATGGGCACTGGTAAACAGGGATCATGGGTGAAACAGGGGCACAGGTGAGACAGGGAACATGGGTGAAACAAGGGCACAGGTGAGACAGGGAACATGGGTGAAACAAGGGCACTGGTGAGACAGGGAACATGGGTGAGACTAGGGCAGTGGTGACATAAGGAACATATGGGTGAGACAAGGGCAGTGGTGAGATAAGGAACATGGGGAGACAGGGGCACTGATGAGACAGGGAACATGGGTGAAACAAGAGCACTGCTGAGACAGGGAACATGGGTGAGACTAGGGCAATGGTGAGATAGGGAACATATGGGTGAGACAAGGGCAATGGTGAGATAGGGAACATGGGGAGACAGGGGCAGTGGTGATATAGGGAACATGGGTGAGACTAGGGCAATGGTGAGATAGGGAACGTATGGGTGAGACAAGGGTAATGGTGAGATAGGGAACATATGGGTGAGACAGGGGCAGTGGTAAGATAGGGAACATGGGTGAGACTAGGGCAATGGTGAGATAGGGAACATATGGGTGAGACAAGGGCAGTGGTGAGACAGGGAACACTGCTGCGTTGAGACAGGTGTCACTAATAAGACAGTGTTCTCCGGAGTTTCGGATTTCAAACAAATCCAATATTTATAAGATGCTATCACCATGTATTTCAACTTAGCTACGTTTACACCAAAACAGTTCAATAACTATCCATTTTTATTCACTTGTAAGAGAAGTCATCAACATCTAGATTTCTCAGAAAGACTATAGGTAATACATATTGAATAACCTACTTACGGAAACAAACACTCGTGAAATACTGTTTTAAAAAAAGTCACTTGGGACAGACAATTAATTCCGCTCGTAGACTATTCTCTACATCTTCTGATGGCTAGGGACCCCTCAGTTCAATTGTAAAGAACTGAGACGTACACCCATTCACGACTGACCGCTTTGGTCACACAACAGACCCTTGATGGACACATCCTGTACAGTAAGTGCATCCACGTTGGGGGCCGAGTTGGCTTTACCTCTGACCCCTGCGCAGTGCATTTCACACGTGTTATCAACGAACAAATGCCGGTAGGGGGCGCTAAAAATCCTATACTTCCGGTGCCGCACTGTTTGGCTTTTCGGTAACATTTGTGTAAACAATAAACAAACCTTGGACATTCACATCAGGTTCCATTTCAGTATTCCCCGCGCTGGGTTGTGTATTGTGTTTGATTTAAAACACTCTATTGACGCTTGACGAGGACTGGTTGCATTATAGACGTCATCCCAGCCAGATCTCATAAAGTCCCAGTTCAACTCACGTGCATACACTTGCCTGTCTTGGAAGAATGTCAAATATTTATGACATTATGTCGGTGTCGCTGTACTCTGTAGAAGGAATGTCCACTTCCTCTTCTCGTCTTATACACTACTCCTAGAACAATAAGCCACATAGCCAGTAGTTTATGACCAGGGAGTCTCACCAGGGACGAAACAACCATTGAAGCAGAAAAGCAATTGCTGACACCTAAAAAAGCACAATTTTGTTTCACACAAAAAAGCACAAGTTTTTTACACATAACATATTTTTTGTACGTAAACCTCAATTTACCATCTATGCAGTAAATTATTACTTTAAACTCCACAAGGTCGAACGTGATATTTATTGTCTGACTTGAAAAGCAGAATCTTCACTACGCACTTTAGGAATTTAGTGGTCGATGGCTTGTGACGTTAAAACACATAAAAGTAATATTATGTATTCGTTTTAATGTTGACATTTCATTTATCAGCATGGATGCTGCTTGAATGAAAGTTGAAAATGTGTTGCTGAAACACGTATATGTGGAAGGGGGCGGTCGGGTAGCCTAGTGGTTAAAGCGTTCGCTCTTCACGCTGAAGACCCGGTTCCATTCCTGACATGGGTACAATGTATGAAGCCCATTTCTGGTGTCCCCCGCCGTGATATTGCTTGAATATTGCTAAAAGCGGCGTAAAACCAAACTCACTCACTCACTCACTCACTCACTCACTGATGTGGAAGGCGAGCCCAAAGTGATGCAGGTCTTAGGCGTTTACCATTTTGGTGAAACCCACGAGCATAATATATGTATGGCAAGGTAAAATATACACTTAAAACTACCTTTCTCCTCTCCACCCCATCCCACCCTTTTCTACCCTACCCGATAACGTTACACCCATATGTCCCATCCCTACCCACGGACAACCACATATGACAAGGAACTCGGAACCAAGTTTCAGCTGTCCACAAACGTCGACTCTTTGCTACAAGATGACTGGTGTCTACCTCCAGGTATCCAGGCCCCCACTAATCGCTATCCCATCTTGACCAATCCCCTCCCCCCCCCCCCCCCCCCCCCCTCAAAAGAGGAACCCAAATGTGGAATGGGGACAACATTGTTGGCGTGTGCAGACACGTGCACGTGGAACACGTGCAGCAATTAGCATAGCATAGCTGTAACATGGCTGGAAGCTAATGGATATTCCGTCTGTTGATTTGCGGAATTTAATTACAAGATTAATTTCAAGAAGTGAACGTTATTTTCCTTTTTACTTACCCAGTGCAATCTGTCTAAGTTGTCTAGTTGTATTGCCGATGCCAGCCTTTATCTTAACTCGCTTCCAATTGAGCGAAGCATTGAAGCAACATATGAAGGATAAGGATCTTAAATCAAATTAGAGTGGTTTTAAATGACGGAGTAACATTTTACAAGGATGTGAGTGATAAGTAAAGGCATCTTAGTGTTTTATCATGTTTACTGTGAATCAAAACGTGCAGCGATATATTCAGCTCCACACAGCGCTGTGGGAGTCGGACATATCAGGTGTGGTGCAATGGAGTTTAACGTCGCGTCCAAGATTATTGCATTTTTATAGCGACGTGTGTGTGTGTGTGTGTGTGTGTGTGTGTGTGTGTGCTTGTACTAGTCTGGACTAATGATTTCATAGTGCTAGCCCCCTGAGATACCAACGCCGCAGTTTAACATGAATACCCCACTCACACACAGTATACTGACGTTACCGACAAGTCCTTGTTTCAGCCCCTTAAAGCCGAGCGCCAGACAAACCCATCTTTTAACTCCTTTGGTATGACGCGGTCGGGAATCGAACCCCGGACCTTCCGCTCCCCGGGCGGACGCTCTACCACTGGACCACGGATGCGGTCCCGGACACATCAACCTGTCACCCACAACTGTTTGGAACCAAGAAGTGAAGATATTGCAGGCTCGTCTTCAACTTGTTGGTCATCTTGAGTACATTGAAAGGAAATAATGAGGCAGTTTAGACAGTGTTGCTTCATATTTACTACTTATATGTTGCCTCGCGTGCTTTTAACAGTGATAATCTAACTTTTATTTTTTACGACATTTCAAATACATGTGTTGAGTTTTTTTCTTCAGATTTCTTGATTTAGAAAATGCAGTTTTGACACTGACAGAATTTGTACTAGCGGATCCAGAGGATTGCAGAGAGTGCTCCCTTTCACGACTTGTTCTGACCAGAACGTGGGAATTGTGATAAATAATGTAGAAGTAATACTACATATCGTGCAGGGTTGTTTAGGTTTTGAGCTGCGACAGATTTCTCTCTCCAATCGGAAAAAACCCCAATCAACAACGGGCCAAATAACACCGGAACGTCTGACAACCATTTCATTCATTACATATTCTAGACTTCCCAAGACTGGGGATACCAGTCACTGCGACTGTCTCCCCCACCCCTACACCCTAAAACTACAAAGGGGAATTTTTTGTAATAGTAGAACAGTCCAATGAAGGTTAAAGCTAATTAGGGGCGGTGGGGTAGCCTAGTGGTTAAAGCGTTTGCTCGTCACGCCGAAGACCCGGGTTCGATTCCCGACATGGGTACATGGTGAGAAGCCTTTTTCTGGTGTCCCCTGCCGTGATATTGCTGGAATATTGCTAAAAGCGGCGTAAAACCATAATCACTTACTTACTTTAAGCTAATTAACCAATGAGAGTAACGATAAACTGGGGATGAATAAGCCGAGGTCAACAATCTCATTTGGATGTGGATGTGATCAAAGACAATTATGCTAAATAGGTTAATTGCCTTAGGAAATGATATTTTAATTTTTTTTATTTAAGATAATATGTATTTCCAACTACGCACACACATTAAAATAAGCAGTATTGGTTCAAGAGATAAGTGACAAAAAATCACACAAATCATCCGTTTTTCGTGTGATCATTTTTAATTATTCATTTGTTGCTATAATTCTTTGTTGTATTCTAGACTGAAACCATCGTAAGTTGGTATATTACCATTTCATCTGAGAAAAGGTACAAGATGTGGGTTTCCTAATATCCAAAGGAGGGGCGGTCGGGTAGCCTAGTGGTTAAAGCGTTCGCTCGTCACGCCGAAGACCTGGGTTCGATTCCCGACATGGGTACAATGTGTGAAGCCCATTTCTGGTGTCCCCCGCCGTGATATTGCTGGAATATTGCTAACTCACTCACTAATATCCAAAGGAGACATATTAAGCTCAGTCTATTGTTGAACCGACGTCATATAAAATCGTCATGGCGTCATGAACAATGGATGACGTTGTCTTCAAGTTTATATTTGCGACAATAGATCATATGACGACACGATGCTATGGGGCTCGTCGCAAACAATGGAAACAATATAACGATTGTTATAATGATCACTGAGAATGGCTGAAAATAATTAAGAAATAAACGACGAGTGGGAGTTTATCGTACAATAAAACACTGC